ATAAAAAAGATTAAAAAATTTTAAAACAAAAAAAAGAATTTCAANAAAAAAAATAAAAAAGATTAAAAAATTTTAAAACAAAAAAAAGAATTTCAATTTTTAATAGAAGTTTATTTAACTTAATTTCAATATGCAGTCATTTAAAGGAAAGGTATAGAAACAATAGAGAGAAATAACAGTGTATACATCACCAAATTGGGCTGAAACCTGCCTCTAGACTTGAACAGCACTGGGAAGCTCCAAGTAACAGCAATCTGGAGTCCCAGTTGGGTAAAGGGTCTCTGCTGGTGCCTCCATCCCACTGGTGAGACTTTAGATTGCAGCTTTGGGGGTCCTGCTTATAACCCTAGGCCACAAACTGGTATTATCATCAGTTTGCATGCAAAAATGCAGCTCTGTGTTTTTTTTTTAACTTTTACAATGCTGTTTGTTTCATCTTGTGAGTCATAAGATTCCTTAAATCCTGGGGGCCTGGCTAGGTTCCCAGGGGCTTAAGGAATTCTAAGACCTACTCTTTCTTATCTATAAAGTGCCACTTGACTTGCTGATAACAATTGGTGTGCTTATAGGCAGACATGTAGTCCAAGAAGGATCAGAAGTTGGTCAGAGGCCTGCTCCCCTACTTCTGAAGCCTGAACAAGACTGCTTCCATTTTAATTTCCCTAACAGATCTTTTGAAAACCATTTTTTCTGGAATCCCTTTGAAAAGTTTTAAACATGTTACTTATTTCTCAAACTAAGAGCTCAAACTTTTTTGGCCCTTGCTGAGATAGGGCCAATCATTTTCCTGTAATGTAGAAACCTTCCCCCCACCCCCAAGCTTTTAAATTTTGTTTATATCCTTAAATGCCAAAGTGCAAAATGACCTTTGTTCCTGGTGTGCTCATTTGTCCTGGCTCAGCTAGCCCTGCTTCCTCCACCTCCTTTAGCCTCTGGAGTAGTGTTCATTTACTACTGTCACTGGACCCCACTCATCAAGCTTGTTTAGAATTACACATTAGATTCTACTTTATTGAGGCTCCAGCTTTATAAGTTAGTGTGTAAGAAATAAAATTTTTCACTTTTTAGGAGACTTTGTTGTGGACATATCAGGCACTTGGTTTCCTTATCGGGAATATGGGGGTAATAAAACTATTCTGAAGAAAGACAGAGGCAACAGGGAAGGCACCTGAAATTGCTCTGTAGGATGTGAAGCACTAAACCAACTGTCAGGCTGCCTCTGGGGGCATGATTGCTACAGGTCCCAACAGCTGCTGGAATTCAGAGCCACCTCTGCTTCTCCTTAGGCAGCATGCAGAGGGCAAGTTCCTCCTCCCTTCAAAGAGGAGCTAATCAAGTAATTCTAGCAAACCCAAGGGTGTTTTAATCAATCTTGTTGGCTTATGGTTAGATTGATTAAGGGGAACTGGGAAGAAGTTAAACTTTTTGCATCTGAGTTTCTCTGCTTTTCAATATAGAACAGTGCTTTGAGCCTAAAAAATGTTCATATCTTTTGACCTAGTAATCTCCCTTACGAGGACGTAATCCTACAGAAATAAACATAACAAAGATTTATGCGTAAATATGTTTTTCATCACACCTTCATCCTTTTTCTTTTCTTATGATGGTCAGCAGAAGAGGCCTTTGGCTCTTTCCCAGAAAACACATTGCACCAAAGTTTGCAGACATTGGCTCACATTTATTTAAACTGTCACGGGATACCTTTTTTGTGAGCAGATTCCAAATATTTGTTGCATACCTAAATCTTGGATGGATGTCAGTAATGCAAGGGTACACTGTACTTGAAGGAGTCAAAGGTGCATACAGACATTAGCAGAGAGCAGCACTGGATATTATGGTTTAACCTTCCTCCATTTTAGATCTTATAGACCCAAACTCATTCTTGATTCTGGGTATGTATACTTTATACCATTCTCTGTATCAACAAAATACCATGTCAGTTTGGGTCCTCTGAGAGCAGACATCAAAACAGAACTAGCCATGCTTAGAAGTTTATTATAGGAAAAGCTGGTGAAGGATAAAGGGGGAGAGAGAGCAGGAGCAGGCAAGTTGTTTTTAAAAGAATGAAAGAAACCAGGTACTCCTGTATAATTTCCTACAGTCTAGATTTTGTTGATTGCATCCCAGTAATATTATTTAACATGTTCTTCTGGCCCCAAGTGTCATATCTAGAGGCTAGATCACGTTAGAATTTAGTTTAGTTGCTCTTTCCCTTTCTCCCCTTCCTTCCTTCCTTCCTTTCTTCCTAATTACTTCATACATGGTGGTATGCACTTCCTTTAAGAGACTGGTAGTGTCTGGTTATCTCTCTCGTGTGTGTGTCATGTTAGCATCTGTTGACAATCATTGCATTATATCTATTAATTCCTTAAATGCTGATATTCTAATTATTTCTGTCTTCACTTGTTAACTAGTATACTTTTATACAGTGAAATCTCCCTTTGTTAGCTACCTGGTTACTTTGAGGTTCAGTGCAAATAGGGAAGATAGGATGAATGCCAAATTCTCTTTATTTTTAATAAGTTAACTCCTTAGTGTTTTCCAAAGGTGACCAGTGAGAGTTTTTATTTATTTATTATTATTATGAGTGAATTTAAGCCATTCCAGCTGGGGGTTGTTGTTGTTATTTTGGCCATGTTGCACAGCTTGCTAGGATCTCAGTTACCCAACAAGGGATTAAACCTGGGGCACTGCAGTGAAAGCCCAGAGTCCTAACCACCAGGCCACCAGGGAACTCCCTGCAGTTGTTTTTATTTGATACTCAAACTGTTCCATCTTTGGCCAGTGGGAACTCTTACAGATAGATTTCTGAGCTGTTCTGTCACGATCCTAGTGGTCTCTGTTAGCCTCCTTGCTCTCTGTTATGATTTGATGTTCCAGACCCATCTTGTACATTTCTTGCCCCAGATTTCTACTTAGTCTCATTGTTCTTACATCTGAATTTCCTTATTTCTAGGCCCCAAATCCTGGATCACAGTGATAGCAGCCTGATTACTCATTTGCTTTGTTTCACATTACATACGTAATGGCCTCAAAATAACAATTCTAAACCTAGCACCCACAAAATGATTACTGATTAAAATGTTTGCAATTCTTTTCTGTTTTTAGGATATATACCACTAGAAATGAACTATCACGTTACTGGGCTTTAAAAATCACTAAGAACAGTTCCTCTTCTTAACCACTTGTACACATATTTAGGTATCATTTTTACTAATCTTATCTCTGGTGTCATTCTTATTTCTCTTTCACCCTGATATTCTGACATTTTTTTTCTCCTTGAGTATATTTATCTATGTAGTCTGCTTCATGTTTTTTTTTATAATAGAGGAGTATAAAGATAACTAGGTATAAGAGAAGTTGAAGTACAAAAAAGGTAGATATAAAAATGTGTATACATGCCCTTTTTCCCTTACTCTGTGAGCTGAGAGGTCTTAAAAACATGATTCTCTAGTATCAATGGGCATGCTTAGAGCCCAGATCTTGGTTTCTGAAACTGTTCTCTAATAAAAGGAACCAGTGCTCACTGGAGAAATAGCTGATTGTAGGGCTGGGCAGAGAAAGACAAGCCTGGTACATCTTGTAATACCAGAAAGTAACGAAGTCCTTAAATACATACATACACACAAAATGCTAAGTGGTCAAAGCTGAAACAATTTGAGCAACAAAAGAAGTAACATAATGTTGGATTATAACCAAAAGTATAAAACAACTGTCTATGAATCCATAAGGATTTAAGTAAATGGTTAAATAAATAAATAAGTGGGGTAGAAGAGACAAATCTCCTGTGCAGATGAATTTCAAATAATTTATGTCAGTACTCCACCCTCAGAGAAGGGCATGGCAACCCACTCCAGTATTCTTGCCTGGAGAATCCCCATGGACAGAAGAGCCTGACGGGCTACAGTCCATGGGATCACAAAGAGTCGGACACGGATGAGCAACTAAGCACTCCACCCTTGAGGAAGTAGGACATAACTCTCTACTTCTAAAATGCAGACTTTACATAGACTTCCTTCCAAAGAGTATAGCATGGAAGGGGAGAAAAAGAATAGCTTTACAGTGGAGAAACCTGGCCAAACACTACCTCAGCCTCGGTGATCAAGATTAACGTCAGTGATAAGTCATGTTCATAGCATGCACCATTGATATAATGTTAATCTACAACATTTGCTTCTACTTTTCTGGTATTAACTACACTGTTTTTGTTGTTGTTGTTGTTGTTGTTGTTTCTTTCATTTTGTTTGATTTGACTTGGCTTGTGGAATCTTAGTTCCCCAACCAGGGATTGAACCTGGGCCATGGCAGTGCAAGCAATGAGTCCTAACAACTGGACCACCAGAGAATTCCCTTACTATACTGTATTTAAAAATATACTTTTTATGAAAATTTTTATTTATGAGTGAAAGCCTGTACTCAACTTTGAGCAAATAAAGTATGAAACGTGGTTCCTGCCTTTGGTAATTTTTAATCTAGTTGGGAAAACAAGATCTAGCTAGCATGTAATCCAGATATAGATAATCAGAGGTCATTATAGGGGGATTTAAGTTGAGTAAAGCACAGAGATACTGTGGGCTGGTGTAAGGTAGGGCGAGTTTCCAGGAAAACACTTCTGTTTATACAGTCAGGATTTCTAGAAGAGTGGCATGATAAGGGTTGATTGAGGAGTTCAACAGATTCTTTTGCATATGATTTGATTATCACCAAACCCCCAAATATATATATATATATATTTTAAATTATTACATTTTTAACCAACCTTATGATAGATAATACAATTAAATTATGATACATAATATAATATATGCTAGATTATAAAATTTTGGGCTCAGTAATCACAGTGAGGTGATTAGATAGAATCACAAAATTTATTAGATAGGACGATCAATGAATTGCATATGATGTTCTGCATTTATATTATATGTAGACCTGCTTAAATCTTCAATGTTTCACATTTAGATGTTAATATGTTCTTCGACTTTTTTTTTTCCCCCTTCTAGGATTATCTGCTGCCAAACTCTTAGCCGAACATGAAGTTAATGTTTTGGTTTTAGAAGCCCGGGAGAGAGTTGGAGGAAGAACATACACAGTGAGGGTAAATGATTTTGATACCTACATAAATACAAAATCTCACACAAACTAGAAGTGGGGTCATTGGAAGTTCCAGAGCTGGGGGGAATCTCAAGAGTGTATGCAGTTAAGCCATTGATCCACCATAGTCCTAGACTACTTTATTAAATAAGTATCAGTTCTTTTCAACAAACACCCACCAAAGAGTGTCAGCCTCTGACCTTCAGTAGCTTGCATTCTAGTGAAGAAAACAAACCTGGACAAATAATTTCAATACAGCATCATCATCTCCATACCAGAGACCTAAATAGAGGATATAGTATCTCAGGTGAGGTAAGGTTTAGCTGGACTTGAAGTGACTGTACCTTCACCACATACATACACACACACACACACACACACACACACACATGATATAGATTCCTTATTTATTTTCCAAGGACACACAACTTAAAAGAAGTGTGACCACAGAAAGCAGAGGCAAATGTAACGTGTTTCTGTGCAACTTTTTCCTTAGCCCTTGTTCTCCAAGAGGTGCACTGCTGAGAGAGGCACTGTTTGCTCAGGTGGAGTCAGTGAGACATGAGAAGGAAGCCCAGTTCTTGCTACATCACAGCCTTTTAATACTTAGGCTTACATCACCACTTTGGGGAAAATGCAAGCTAACTGGTGTTTACAACTATTTAAAGAAATGGTTGCAGGTTGTTGGATCTGTGAGATCTGATGAAAGGATACAGGGAAGGAAGAAATAAAGACAAAGATGGAAGTTGAGGGACATGAATATTTGAGCAGGGGGGCAGAGGCAGAGAAGCCAGAGAGGAGCAGTAGAGGCAGAGGAGGAAGACCAGATTGGGGCAGTGCCATGAAAATCAGTAAAGAGGATGGGATGATAAATAGAATCAAATGCCAGGGGCGTTTGACACAGGATGAAGGCTGTTAAGAGGCCCTTGTATTTGGCTTTTAGAAGGTCATTAATGAGCCCCTTTGCTAGAGCACACAAATCGAGCATTAAAGGCTGTGGATTGGCAACAGGGACAAAACCAGACTGTTGAAGTGACTGGAAGGAGAGGAAGCATCTAATTAGAAGATGTGTCAGACTTATAATAGAATGGCTTATGCAGTGATAATAATGATGATTTAAGCAATCCGAACATTCAGTCCTTTTATATAAGAAGAAGTCTGGTGGTTGGTAGTCCAGGCTGGTGCAGGGGTTCAGCTCTGTCAGCAAATCTTTAGGATCTCTCTGTCCTTCTGCCCAGCCATTCTTTTCCTGTTGGCTTCTTGCCTAGTGGTAACCAGATGGCTTTAGCATCTCGCAGCATCAGGCCCTCACTCAAGGCAGGAAAGGGCGGTGAAGAGGCGGCCCAAGTCTTATCTGCAACAAAGCCTTTCTTTTTCCAGAAGACCCCGTGAGACATTTGCTTTAGTCTCATTGGCTAGATTTGGGGCACACAGCTGCCAGGGAGCCTGGGAAAGCAAGTATTTAACATTTCCAGGCTGCATAATAGAAGGAGGCATGGGAAAAGGAACATACATGGGTATAAAATAGTCAACCAACATCTAAACAAGAATATTGTACCAGCTCTTTTCAGTCACACCAAGCCAAGCTCCCCTTTTGTCCATCACTTTCTGCCTTTTCAGACGTACAAGGATGTATCATAGGCCTATTTTTACTTTGCTCAGCTCTAAGAGTACCCTACAGCCTTGCTACTCAATGTACACTGTGAGCCACCTGTCTGGGAATCACCCTGGAGCTTGATAGACATGCAGAATATCAGGCCTTGTCCTAGACCTGCTGACTGCATTCTGACAAGATCCTTAGGGGACCCTACAGAAGTGCTGCTCTTTGCTGTAGGCTCGCTTGCTTTAAATGAATGTGAATCTATATCAACTGCGTTTGAAGCATTTGAGTACCTCCTCAGAAGGAGGCTATTGGTCTGGGAGTGAGGAGACTGGGGCTCTGACCCTTGTACTGGCCTGACACCCTGTCTTACCTTGGGTAAGTACTATTAGCACTTCACATCTCAGTTTTCTCATCTGGGCAGTGAGATATAAATGGGCTTGAAGCTCCCTCCAACTTCAGGTTCTAATCGAAGGTAGTGTGTTGTAGTGCAAAAGAAGGATTGCATATTCTGCCTGTACCACCTTAATAGATATGATTCATCTGTCATTTTCTGAAGAATATTCCTTCATTTTGGAGATAGGTATTAAATTGTCCCTTTGCCCTACTTTTCATATCTCTAAAACCTTTTTGTTATTAAATAGGAGCATCAGTCCTGTTGTGGATTTTTCAGTTCTCTTTTGGCAGAACTTACTTTTGTTTTTGTTTTTAATCGAAGTATAGTTTCCCTGGTGGCTCAGATGGTAAAGAATCCCCCTGCAATGTGGGAGACCTGGGGTCGATCCCTGGGTCAAGAAGATCCCCTGGAGAAGGGAATGGCTACCCACTCCAGGATTCTTGCCTGGAGAATTCCATGGACAGAGGAGCCTGGCGGGCTACAGTCCATGGGGTTGCAAAGAGTCAGTCATGACTGAGCGACTAACACACACATTGTTGATTTATAATATTATATTGTTTTAGGTTATAGCATAGTGATTCAGTATTTTTACAGATTATACTCCATTAAAAGTTAATATAAGATAATGGCTGTAATTCCTTGTGCTCCACAAATATATCCTTGTTCCTTATCTATTTTATACGTAGTACTTTGTATCTCTTATTCCTATGCCCCTAACTTGCCCCTCCTCCCTTCTCTCTCCCCTCTAGTAAATACCAGTTTGTTTTCTATGTCTTTGAGTCTGGAACAAGTTTCTTTGGGCAAGGGAAATGAGAATCTCAATGTGCTTAGCCCCATCTATGTTATTGCCCCAGGCTGCTTTTTCATTCTGCATCATTTATATATATATATCAGTGGCATACAGGAACTATTGTGTATTGAGTATGATTTTAAAATTCCCTTTTGGAATGTGAGAAATTAACTCTGAAATGCTGAGAAACTAGGACTTGACATCTGTAAGATTTCAATGAATTCAAATGAATAGAAGGGGTAAAAAGGGCTTTACAAAGCAGGCATAGAAATGGTATCTGATCAGAAACTGAATTGAATATTGTTACAGTTGTTTCTACTAGCATAATTGATTAGAGTGTGGGGAGGAGATGCCATAAAAATTACTCTGGATCTTTAACTACTGAAATATCAAATTTGATACTGTCCCTTGGCAGTAGTTCAGATACATCTTCTATTCATTCAAAACTTCCCAGTTTGTGCTAGCGTGATTCTCCCATAATTCTTCAGGACCAGATAAATGAAGTTGAAATGCCTGCAAGGCTACCACAGGGATGGTGTATTAGTTTTCCTAATATGGTTATGTGTTTATGGCTTCTTCAAAGGCTGAGTTGTTGTTCAGTCATTCAGTCGTGTCCAACTCTTTGCAACCCCATGGACTGCAGCACACTAGGCTTCCCTGTCCTTCACCATCTCCCAGAGCTTGCTCAAACTTATGTCCCTATTGAGTCAGTGATGCCATCCAACCATCTCATCCTCTGTCATCCCCTTCTCCTCCTGCCTTCAATCTTTCCCAGAGTGATGAGATCCAAACCAAGATCCTAAAGACTGAGGGGCAGCATAGCAGAATATGGTGTTATAGTTCTACTGTCTTCCTGCTGAAGCTGGGGCATCTCCTTTCCATTGCTTCCACTTTGTAAAGAAAGATTCTATGAAATGTCTCATTCTTTTTACTGCTTCACTTGGGATTATTTATTTTAAACAGTGTCAGTATTCTAAAGACATCTTGTTTAGAAACTCCCGAGAGTCATCTTGCTGTCTTAGTTAAATTTATTGGACTACTGACTCCAATTTTGTTCTTCACATCTTAATAAGGATGTTGGAGACTGGAGAAGGTTTGGAGCACAGCACCAGTAGTTAGTAAAAGGGAACGTTAGGATTATATGAGGGACAGAAGTCAGAGGAACACTTCATTTCTGGTATTATGGCGGAATGACTGACTGTCCCTCTTAAAATAAGTAAAATGCTGAATAAAATATATTGTGCTACCTTGAAGTGAGAAAATTGCAGATCTCCTGGATGTTAAGCAGACATCTCAGATCTAACACATCCAAGCTGAATTTCTTGTCTTCCTCATCAAGAACACTATTCCTGCAGCCTTCCCCATAAGGGAGGATGGCAACTCCCCAAACACCTGAAGTCATGTTTAACCCCATGAGGCCCTACATTCATTCTGTCAGGAAATTCTTTTGGCTCTGCCTTCAAAATATATCCAGAATTCAACCTTACCCTCCACTTCCAGGGCTACCACCTGGTAGCAGCCACAGTCATCTCTAGGGAAAGTGTTAGTCACTCAGTCATGTCCAACTCTTTGGGATCCCGTGGACTGTAGCCCACCAGGCCCCTCTGTCCATGGGATTCACCAGGCAAGAATACTGGAGTGGGTTGCCATGCCCTTCTCCAGGGAATCTTCCTGGCCCAGGGATTGAACCCACGTCTCCTGCATTGCAGGTGGATTCTTTACCATCTGAGCCACCAGGGAAGATTACTGCAATAGCCTCTTAACTACTTTCTCAGCTTTTACCCTTGCCCCATAAAATCTACTGTTAGTGTGACAGCCAGAATGAGCTCTCAAACCTAAGTCAGATCTTGGCACTTCTCTGCTTGAAACCTTCCAAAGGCTCCCCTTTTCATTCAGAGTAAAAGCTGATATTGTTTCAATGCGTTGTGAGGTGTTCCATGACCTGCCCTCCCCACCCTTGACTTCTCTAATCTCATCTCCAGTTCTCTTTTCCTTGCTCACTCTGTTCTAGACACACTAGTCTGTGTTTTGTGAACACACCAGGCACATTTCTGCCTTAGAATCTTTACACTGACTCTTTCTCCTGCCAGGAATGTTCCTGTCCCAAATAGCCACATGGATAACTCCCTTACCTCCTTCAAGTCTTTATGAAAAGATCACCTTTTTTTGGAGGCCTACTTGTCGCTTGTATTTGAATCTGAAATCTTTCCTTCTCTCCTCTGCAGTTTCAGTGTCTTGTCACTCTCTAGTTTTTTATTTTTTAAATGTTATCTACTTCTAAGATATTTATTTATTATGGTTCTTGTTCATTTTCTGTCTCTTCCTACTAAAGCTGCTTGAGAGCAGAGATCTTTATTTTGTTCACTGATATAACAGAAGCTTCTTGATCTATACCTGGTACCTTGTATGAACTCAAGATATAGTTATTGAATGCACTAATGAGTCCCCAAAGCAAAGTGAAAACATGAAGCTTAGGAATTCAGTGAGCTCAAAATTTGACTTTCACCTTGAATGCCTACTGAACCCTGAAGACTTTGCAGTTCCACTGGGATGGATGTATGGCATGCAGAGAACAGGAGATAAAATCCTCACCCTGTCAAAGGTAGGAAGTTTAATAGGAAACACTCCAAATTGGAATCCCCTGTGCTATACTCTGTACATGAAAGTGAAATAAATCTTACCATTCAAAAAGAGATAAAAATAAACTTTGTTTTCATCTGTGGCTTCCATCTAAATTCACACTACCTATGTGGCATGAAAAAAACAGAATATATAAAGTACCAAGGATGCTGGCAGAAATAGACTCAATTCCTGTCCACCCAGGACAAATAACTTACACAGAAAAGGTTCTAAAGAAAACGAACGACTTATAGTCAAAAGTAACAGAGCCAAAGAAAAGTGACAGAACATACAAGGAAGCTAGGCACTAAAAGAAATGTCTAAAAGAGTAGGCCTGAGTGTATAAGTAGAAGAAAAAACTTCAAAAGAAACAAAAGAAAACCCTTAATCCCAAAGAAGGAAAGAAATCAGGCAGGAAACTATTAACAGTGGGACAAATGGAAAGCCATAATAAGTGAAATTAAGACATTTTAAAAGAAATAAATAGGTTAAACTCAGTTAAAGGGGGGAAAATGTCAGAATAAAGAACACTTTAACTGAAAGATAGAAAAAGAGATAATATACAAATACTAATCTAGGCTGTTTTAACTAGATTAATACCAGACAAAATAAGGTTTAAACAAAAAAAATGTTTCATTGAATTAAGTATCAGTACAATAGTGATAAGAGACCTGGAAGACTAAACAGTTCTAAACTTGTATATCCTGAATAACGTAGCCTCAAAATATAAAGCAAAAATTGATAGTAATCAAACATAAATGCCAAATAGACTAGGGGATTTTTAACATACTTTTCTAAATTAATAATAAATGAAGCAAACAAAGGCTGAGCACAATTAATCTTTTTCTAATGGACATATATAAAACATACATATTACTTAACAGAAGACTATATGTTCTTTTCATTCTGAAATGAAAAATCTTTGAAGATCAACCGTGTACTAGGTCATAAAGTAAACCTCAAGGATTGATACCATATAATCCATTTTTTTTTTACCACAATGCAGTTATGACAGAAAGATAACTAAAAAGAATTCTAGCTATAGAAATTAAAACACAGCAAAACTTTTAGAAACATTGATTTAGACAGAAATTGTAATGGAAATTTGCAAACATTTAAAACTGCACAGTAATGGAAATACTAAAATAAAGTTGTGTAGTTAAAACCATATGAGAGGAAGATTCATAGCCTAAATTTTTCTATCAGAAAAGGATAGGAGGCTCAATATGAATAAGCTAAGCATTCAAGAAATAGAAAATTGAGTGTAAAAAATCCAAATAAAGGAAAAAGGAGCATAAGTCAATGATATATAAAATAAATACTCATAAAATGATCAGTAATAGAAAGGTTGATTTTTTTAAGTCTTATTAAAAACTGACATGTCTGCTGAATTTTTTAAGAAAAAGGAAAAGGAGAGATCTCTAAACAAATAAAAGGGATGAAAATGAACATATAACAACCACTGATGGAATAAACAGTAAATGAGAAGAAGAGGTCCTGAATTTTACAGCAATAGTTTTGACACATATGAAATGTATATATTATCAGAAAATATAATTTCTAAAAATTAAAAGATTAAGAAATAGAAAATATGAGTAGTGTTTTAACCTCAAAATAAACTAAATCTGTAGTTTAAGTTTTTCCCACAAACACTAAACCTAGATAGCTCTACAGGTATGTCCTACCTGCTGTTCAAAGAAGAGATTATTCTGTTTATATATGAACCCTTCTAAAAAAATAATAAAATAAAGAACAGAAGAAAGTATGATCACTAACTCATGAGATTAACAATACTGTAATGCTGGAAAACAGACAAGGGCTGGAGAATAGAGGAGACTCCTGGGGCAATCTCAGTATCACTTATAAACACAGATATAAAAATTCTAAACAAAAGGTTAGCAAAGCATATCCAGCCATGGGAAGATAATATCAGATTATATTACCCCAGGGAGGCAAGGTTCTAGGCATTCAATTTTATGGAAATAGCAGATAAGGTAAATTGTCCCAACCCTCCCACTACATACAATGATACTAGACAAATTGTACATAGACCCCCCCCACACACACACACACCTTCAAAGCACCAGAGAGCTAATAAGGTAGTGAAGACTCACTAGACCAATATCCAGAAAACATTGACCTGCTTTTCCCCTGGGGGTGGGGAGGTGGGAGCTTGCTGACTACTAGAAAAGCAAGTGAGAGACTGAGCTCAGTTCACTTCAGTCCCTCAGTCGTGTCCAACTCTTTGCGACCCCATGAACCGCAGCACGCCAGGCCTCCCTGTCCATCACCAACTCCCGGATTCAACCCAAACCCATGTCCATTGAGTTGGTGATGCCATCCAACCATCGTATATTCTGTCGTCCCCTTCTCCTCCTGCCCTCAATCTTTTCCAGCATCAGGGTCTTTTCAAATGAGTCAGCTCTTCACATCAGGTGGCCAAAGAATTGGAGTTTCAGCTTCAACATCAGTCTTTCCAGTGAACACCCAGGCCTGATCTCGTTTAGGATGGCAGTAGTACTTTCAAAATCTTAACAAAGCTAGGGCAACTGAAGGTCAAGTCCAGGGCCCACCAAAGTGTGTGTTTATGGAAGGAGGTGTTTGTAAACTCTTGTGCTTTGGGTTGGACTGCATCCTAGCACTAAAGGAGAACAGTAAAATGATTAGGCCACATTGCATTTCAACCTGCTTTCAAATCATCTCAGGCACAGAAAATGCAATAGAATTATCTGGTAATGTTAGCATCCCCAAGTGCTGGGTGGAAGCAGACATAAATCCTCTCTTAGAAAGATATAATCCTTCCAGGATTCAGATTATTTCTGCATTTCTCATGTTCAGTGAATGGCACACAATAAAAAATAATCAGGCAGGGGACTTTCCTGGTGATCCAGTGGTTAAGAATCTGCCTTCCAATGCAGGAGACTCAGGTTCCATCCCTGGTCTGGGAACTAAGATCCCACATGGTGCAAGGCAACTAAGTCCATGGGCCACAACAAGACAGCTCAGCCAAATAAAAACAAAAACAACTGGGGAAGGCAAATTTCATGTTGCTTTAACCAAAAAATAAATAAATAAAATAGGATCAGGAGGCCACCAGTTTGGGCTGACTGAAGAGTTCATCTGCTGGAAATCAGAAAGTTAGGCCTCATAAATCTCTCGGTGGCCCTCCCAGCAATAACCCCAAAGAAAAGCACAGATGACGTAAATGCTTTGAAAAAGACCTAGGAGGATGTACTATAGTGTTCTTTATTCGTTGTGCATGTTCTTGGCAAATTGTCCTCACCAATAACTAAACAAATGGGATTGCTTAGTGACGTTATATGGGATTGGGGATTAGTTCTTGAGGTGAAAGGATTGCTATTTTCAGTGGCCCTTTGTAAGAGAGATGTAAGGCACATTTAAACTGTAAAATATAAACAGGTTCTTCTTGTTTTTATGAGACTTAAGAATGAACATGTTGACTACGTAGATGTTGGCGGTGCTTATGTAGGCCCAACCCAGAATAGGATCTTACGGTTATCTAAGGAACTGGGTTTAGAAACTTACAAAGTGAATGTAAATGAGCGTCTTGTTCATTATGTCAAGGTAAGCCTGATGTTTTACTCAAGTGTTTACTCAGTGGGGAAGCATTTTATTTGGGAAAACATTGGGTTTTGTTTTCAGTTTTTTTTTTTTTGTCAAAGCAATCATGAAAGCAGGTTCTCAGCTTTAAAGTAGTTTTCTGCCTTGCTTTCCTTCTTTTTAAAAAAGTCCTTGTGGACTCCTGCAGTCTCTGAAAGTGGGCATTCTTCAGCTTGGTCCTCTTCCACCTCACCCACTGTGGCCCTAGAAGGCCACACCCCACCTCTAGTCCAGCTGGAATAGGGGTGAAAGGCTCTCAGCTTCCTTTCTTCCCATCCCTCTGGGGCTGAGGGAGGCACCTGAAATACACACACACACACACACACACACACACACACACACACACACAGCCCAGGCAGCTCCTGAGGCACCTATGAGGCAATTCTAAGGCCCCAAGGAACACAACTGTTTGAGGCCACTTAAGACTTGAAATGGGTCGTTCATCCTCATCCTTACCTGACATTTCTTTGCACACTTTGATCGTTTTCTCTACACCTAGCCATGACTCTTGGGAAGTCTAGCTCAGTTGTGTAATTTCCTACTGTTTAAACAAGAGATTGTTTAAACTCAAAGTGCTGCTATCCCCTCAAGGAACAGCAGCTGTTGCCCGTGTTATTCTTTCTTTCTGAAGCCAAACATGGAGCAGATGGAGTCTGAAAAAGAGCCTGGAGAAATCAAGTTTCTGGTCTGATACTGCAGCCCACTTCCTGGAACTAGTGTCACCAGAGCAGGGGTCATTTACTCCTTCTAATGCCAGGATTCCCACACCACTAACTGTATCACTTCTCAACAGACACATCACCCAACACCCAGCAATCATGTGGGTGTGCCATCTTCAGGGCCTTTCAGAGCAGGGATTTGAGGATCCTTGAATGTACGTATGGACACCAATGCCCAGTTGGTGAGGTCAGGAATCTTGGGAAACTCTGATTAGCTGCTTTGGGTTGGTTTGCGATGCTTGGGGGAGTTTGGCAGACACATGAGAAAAGAAACCAGCAGCCTTTAGAAAAACTGGGTTCAGAGGTCAAGGGAGAAATGGAAAAAGTATTAAAAAAAAAGTTAAGACAAAGTAAATTTATGAACACTGGCTTCAATAGGCCATGATCTGAAAGGAAAAACTCCTTTGCTTCCCCACTTTGTCTTCTATGCACGGCATGATGTTTACCTGGACAATAACAAAGGTAAGAGTAATAGCAACTATTAAATAACGTGTGTTGAGCACTTTGACCTGTATTATCATATTTAATGTAGGGAGAGAAACCAAATCCTTTGTACTACTCAACTGCTAGTTAAACAGTCATCTCAATTTACTGTCTAGTCCAACTAGGACTGAAATGAGTCTGGCGATTATCTTGGAACCTGAGCAAATTTATACTCCGCTTTACAGAGGAAAACACTGAGGTTCGGTGAGGTCAAGTGACTTGACAAAAGTATAAAACTAGTGATGGTCTACCTACCCCCTGAACATACGTGCTCTTTATGAATTTTAGGATTTACTTATATTCTTAAGATGCTAAAGATTGTTCTTTTAATTTAAGACAATCTCATCTAATGGAAAGGTGGAGAATAGACATGCTGTTAGGAAATTCCCTGGCAGTCCAGTGGTTAGGACTCAGGACTTTCACTGCCATGGCCTGGGTTAGATCCCTGGTTGGGGAACAAAGATCCTACAAGCCACGTGGCACAGCCAATAAATAAATAAACACTTACCATTAAACCATCCTCTCACATACTTTAACCTGCCAAGGAGTACCTATTTTCACCCAAGGTAGACTACAAAATGAAGGTAAAAAAAAAAAAATAAAACTAGTGCACCAGTTAGAGGTTAATTTATTTTACCTGAATGAATACCTTTCTGCTAGTGTTTCTGATAAATCACATCATTTCTGCAATGAGAAATACTCAGGGTAGTGGATGTTTTTAAAATGACCAGGAAACTAGAAAGTGAGGAGGCCAGATTAGGGAAAGCGCAGGAAGATATTTAACTATTCCTGGTAAGATTGATAATCAACTGTATGTGCTTAGTCGCTCAGTCATGTCCAACTCTTTGCATCCCCACAGACTGTAGCCCGCCAGGCTTCTCTGTCCATGAGGATTCTCCAGGCAAGAATACTGAAGTGGGTTGCCATGACCTCCTCCAGGAGACCCTCCCGACCCAGGGATCGAACCCAGGCCTCCCGCATTGCAGGCAGATTCTTTACCGTCTGAGCCACCAGGGAAGCCCAGTTAATTGTATAGCAAAAAATAATTCCACTTATTTAAGGATATCTCAACTCTCAGTGTTATGTTTGCTTCTAGGGAGAAGAAAGGATTTTTCCTGCCAGCATGATCGTGCATTGGGCTAATAATGCAAATTGTTTATGTGACACTATACATTAGCTCTCCTCACAAGCTCAGCTTCTGTAATCTAATACAGTATATTCTTTTCAGTAAATAACACTGAAATGAAGTGGGCAAATAACTGGATGATTGCGGCTATCTAGTTAAACCAAGCCATATTCTTTATGATCCAGATTGCTCTTAAATTTTTCTAATCTGCAGCCTTCAAGAATTCCTCCATTGTTTTTTCTGTCAGCAGACTGTAGTACATTCAGTTTCCACCTACTCTAGGATGATTTTCACTGTTCACCAGAGAGCTATTCTTGACCTTAGCCAGATTGTGTTTATGGGGCAAATTTTGATTGTGTGGTCCCAAGCCTGAGCCTCTGAAGCACTGGGGATAGGTGCTGGGTGGTGTTTTCCATCCTGTCCCTTCCCCAAGAGAACTAAGTTTATCTGCTTTAGTGGGATCTTAGTTCCCCAGTTCAGTTCAGTCACTCAGTCATGTCTGACTCTTTGTGACCCCATGGACTGCAGTACGCCATCACCAACTTCTGGAGTTTACTCAAACTCATGTCCACTGAGTCAGTGATGCCACCCAACCAGCTCATCCTCTGTCATCCCCTTCTGCTCCAGCCTTCAGTCTTTCCCAGCATCAGGGTCTTTTCAAATGAGTCAGCTCTTTGCATCAAGTGGCCAAAGTATTGGCGTTTCAGCTTCTACATCAGTCCTTACAGTGAATATTCAGGACTGATCTCCTTTAGGATGGACTTGTTGGATCTCCTTGCAGTCCAAGGGACTCTCAAGAGTCTCCTCCAACACCACAGTTCAAAAGCATCAATTCTTCAGCACTCAGCTTTCTTTATAATCCAACTCTCACATCCATATATGACTACTGGAAAAACCATAGCTTTGACTAGATGGACCTTTGTTGGCAAAGTAATGTCTCTGCTTTCTAATATGCTCTCTAGGTTGGTCATAACTTTTCTTCCAAGGAGCAAGTGTCTTAATTTTATAGCTGCAGTCACCATCTGCAGTGATTTTGGAACCCAGAAAAATAGTCTGTCACTGTTTCAGTTGTTTCCCCATCTATTTGCCATGAAGTGATGGGACCAGGTGCCATGATCTTAGTTTTCTGAATGTTGAGCTTTAAGCCAACTTTTTCACTCTCCTCTTTCACTTTCATCAAGAAACTCTTTAGTTCTTCTTCATTTTCTGCCATAACGGTGGTGTCACCTACGTATCTGAGGTTATTAATATTTCTCCTGGCAATCTTGATTCCAGCTTGTGCTTCTTCCAGCCCAGCGTTTCTCATGATGTACTCTGCATATAAGTTAAATAAGCAGGGTGACAATATACAGCCTTGATGTACTCCTTTTCCAATTTGGAACCAGTCTGTTGTTCCATGTCCAGTTCTAACTCTTGCTTCCTGACCTGCATACAGGTTTCTCAAGAGGCAGGTTAGGTGGTCTGGTATTCCCATCTCTGTAAGAATTTTCCAGTTTGTTGTGATCCCAACTGGGGATCAAACTCAGGCCCCCTGCAGTGGAAGCATGGAGTCTTAACCATTAGACTGACAGGGAAGTCCCTATCTACTTCATTTTTAGAAGGTTCTTATGGTTATGCTAAATTCATTCATTGTTTCGGTAAGTAGTCACTGGACAATCAGCTGTGTACCAGATATTGTTCTAGGCTGGATATAGACTGATGTATACATGATTCAGGTTCCTGCTCACATAGAGCTTGCCATTTCAAGGGAGGAAAAAAGTAAATAACAAACAGTAAATAATTAATATTAAGTAACATTTCTGCCTGTATTCTTCATGGATCTTGTGAATAGAGTTGCTATTCTAACTCTGGTTTATTAAATCTGAGTCTCATATCGTAGTTTCCTGACTGATTCCTACAGTGAACTGGTTTTATATATGTTGTGAATTTGATACGGCTTTATTTGGGAGACTGTATCTGATTTGTGAAATTAACAGAAATTAATCATGTCTTTAACCTAAAAGGTGGGTTTGAGGTGGTGTCAGCTAGATACTTTAGTTTAAAATGCACTCTGTGGATCTTTTCTTTTGGAAGGTGTACAGGAAGCAGGTGGACTTGAATGTCTCTTGGACTGATTGATTGATTACTTGTATTAGTAAAGAAGATGCACCATCATTGCAGTTGTTTTATGAGTTACTTTCATTGAGTTATGGAGACTTTTGGGTTAAGTTTTGCATTGCCGCATCTTGGAAAAGGAGGAAGAAATACTTTGTTTTCTTTTCTTTTGCTTTCTGTGGGTTTCTCCAGACCATAATAATGCAGGTAGGGTATCACGAGGGTAAACACTGCCAGAGATGGAGCAAGGCTTTTTGCAGGGACTGCTTTAAAGGAGACATTGATATTTTTATGCATTCTCACTTTCTGCCTGCTTTTTGAATCCTCCCTAAATAAAAATACAGACTAGATAGACCACACATTTGTTTTTAGAGAACGCTGTGATAAAGATTTGTTTGAAACAGTCTAGGCTTTCCTGATAGTAACAGTTCAGCAAGCAATTTTTCTGAGTATTGGTTCTGTTCTTCCCACACATTTACTCCATGTTTCTATGCCAACGACCGAAATCAAAGGCTTTTCAGAACGTGTGTGTTCTGGAATGC